TCTTCAGAAAAATTTTCTGAAGAAGGGTCTAGGCCCGAAACGTCAGCCTTCCTGCTCCTCTGATGCTGCTTGGCCTGCTGTGTTCATCCAGCTCTACACCTTGTTATCTCAGATTCTCCAGCATCTGCAGTTCCTACTATCTCATCAGTTTTCTATTTTTTTTTCAGAAGCCAGTGATGTTCGAGCGTGGTATGCCGACTGTATACAGGCAGGCTCTGAGCGTTGGGACATGGTGCATGCCAGCTCCTTAAAACACCACCTGAATCAAACTGACACTTATGACCCATTCTGTATCTCCTTGCCACTATCTGGACCAATTTTGCATACCCTTCAGTCCTCCTCTTATCTAACATCACTTTAGAAGCCTCTGTGCTATTTGCCTCAACTAACACATGTGGCATCATATTCTGACCACTAACTGGGAAAGAAGTTTGTCCTGAATTACATCTTATATTTATGGTGATTATCTTCTATTTACAGCCCCTAGCTTTGGAGGCTACACACACAAGAAAAAACACACACAAAAATGGAAACATCTCCGCCTCTACCTCATTAATTCCCTTAATCCAGCACTTATTAGATTGTTAGGTCTCAAAATGGCTCTCACGTTTACGCGGAGGGAAATATTTTCCCGATCTTTCTCTACATTGCCAGCTTCATCCCTGTACCTCTTTGATGGTCCATGTCCAGGTGATTCTTATCCTCTTTCATTGCGAGATGGGCATGAACTCCGAGGGCACTGGACAGGGTCAGGAGCCCCGAGCCACCGCTGATGGAAGGGATTCCTGCAGCCTGCAGTCCTGATGGGTGTGGAGTTAACGGAATCGGGGGTGCGTGGTGAGACAGGTGCTGGAGCTGCTGCTGCTGTAAGTGAGGATTCTTATGTGAATAAAAAAATTGGTAGAATTTACACAAGAGGCAGTGAATCAACATCAATGACAAAACTCTGCTCAATTTTGGGTAAGGGGCTAGGCTACTGAATAGGCTAACATTAAGAAGCGTATTTAAATAGCTCCTTTCACTATGACAGGACTTCATCAAGTGTAGGACTGTCAGAAATGTGTTAGTAAACTGCACACAAATGGATCTCACAAGCAGTAATAAAATAAATGGCGACATAATCTCTTAATGAGGGGGGGATCTCATGGAAATCCATAAAATTCTAACAGGCCTAGACAGGGTAAACACAGGAAGGATGTTCCCGATAACTGGGAGCACAGAACCAAGTTTCACAGTCTAAGGATATAGGATAGGCCATTTAGAACTGAGATGAGGAGAAATTTCTTCACCCAGAGCATGGGTGAGCCTGTGGAATTTCCTGCCACCGAAAATAGTTGAGGTAAACACTGTAAGTTTCCAACAAGGAGTTACATATAATTCTTAAGAATAATGGGATCAAAGGGTCTGGGGTGAAAGCAGGAACAGGGGACACAGTTGGATGATCAGTTGTGATCATATTGAATGGCACAGCAGACTTGAAGGGCTGAATGGCCTACTCCTGCTACTGTTCTCTGTGTTTTTGTGATACCAATTGAGGTGTAAATTTTAGCCAGCAAATCAGGGAAAACTCTGCTGCCATTTGTCAAACAGTGCCATGGTGCCTTTTATCCCCACCTCAGAGGGCAGGTGATTAATGTCTGTAGCAGTGCAGCAGTCCCTCATTACTGTGCTGGATGCACTGCTCAACTCTCTGGAGTGGAGGCCCTGCTGGCTCAGAGGAGAACATACTACCTCTGACCCAAGGATGACTCTAATATGTTAAAAACAGCAGTGAAACAGCTCGCACTGGTATGTTTATCTCATCACCTCGACAGCCTTTGCAAGAATTAGGCCTATCCACTCAATTTCCCAACCCAATTACACACCCCTTTGAAAGGGAACAGAAAATGTTTAAGAAAGTAATTGTGCTTCCTCCCACATTGTATTAAAATACAGTATTTTGTTCCCTCGCTGTTTCTACTTAATAATAAAAATAATCTTTATAGGCCTACAATTACCCACTGGGCCAGGGAAAGGGGAAGACCGAAGATGTTACAGCAACTAACTTTCAATTCTGACACTAGTCAAAAGGGGAGGCAAGGGCCTAGTGGTATTATCGCTAGTCTATTAATCCAGAAACTCAACTAATGTTCTGGGGATCCAGGTTCAAATCCTGCCACGGTAGATGTTGGAATTTAAATTCAATAAAGAATCTGGTATTGAGGGTCTAACGATGACCATGAAACTATTGCCGGTTATTAGAAATGTTCATTAATGTCCTTTAGGAAAGAAATCTTACCTGGTCGGGTCTTCATATGACTCCAGACCAACACCACAGAAATGTCATTCATTCTAACTGCCCTCTGGGCAAGTAGAGATGGACAATAAATGTTGGCCTAGTCACATCCTCTAAATAAATAATAAAAACCCCTTACGCAAAAGCAAATGTGAGTGGACTTGGGAAAAGGGCATGACCAAGAGCAGCCATGTTGCTTGCTGTGGTTAAATAGTCTGTGGTGATCACTGGATAGGCTCAACAGGTTTATAATGGACACTTGTAATTGTATTGGTCATGGTGGCAGAGGGGTAGGTAAAGTCAGGAAACATGCTCTTCCCTCTGCACCATCACATTGAGGGTCTGCTCTCGTCAAACACAAATGGGAAAGAAATCAGAGGGAAAGGGAGGAAACCCTCTGCTGAAGCAACAACACAGAGGACGGGGCTTGTGCTGGGTGCTCTCCATTGGTTGTTATGGCAACTTCTGTGCAGCCTTCTGTGCAAAAGTGACACTACAACAAGCAAGTGAGCAACAGCGTTGGTTATAGGTTCAGTTGACTAGTTCACAAACGGCTACAAGATGAAAGGGTGTTTTATTAGACTACTAAAAAATTCAGCTTTGAAATGGGATCAGAGCATTCTCCTGCGCTCAAGACAACATGAGAATATCACTGAGACTGTGACACATGCAATGAATTTTATGGGAAATTACTCAAGAGATGTGTCGGAACATAGATAACTCAATCGGGCTTTACTGAATTATCTTTCATTAATACTTTGGATAAAAATAATTCAGTTGAAATATCTTATTAAACTTGTCCAGCTACTTAGTACCAGAATGATGTAGCAATTGTAATGAGGTCAGCCAGGTGGATCTCCTAGAATATGACTTCCCTGATTGGGGCTGTTAATCTGGTCCCATCAGGGAGCCCTGGCTGACAGATATAAACAGGAGTGTCACTGTTCACTCTGAGAGCTGGCTCTGAGGGAGCTCGACCCGTGTCAAGTCCTACACACGTGCAAATAAAGGGTGACTTGGTGACAGGATACTGGCCTCTGTGGAGTTATTTTAAATGGAATGGTACTGAAAGTCACCAGATTTTTTTGGGACAGGTTTTACGGAACCAAAACAGCTAGATGGTCAGCCATGATCTAACTGAAAAGCAAAATGAATTGCAGCTTAGACCCTGTCCTCCTGTTCCTCTCAGTGCTCAATGCCTCTGATTTAAAATTCTCAACCGTGTGTTCAAAGTCTTCCACAACCTTACCTCTCCTGTCATTGCTACCCTCCAAACAGCCCGACAACGCTCTGAGAACTTTGCATCCCTCTAATTCTGACCACTTATGCAATCAGCTGTCCAACTGGTGGCTGTGCCTTCAGCTGTCTCTGCCCTATACTCTGTATTCCCACGGTTTAAACCTTCCCTCATGCCTACCTCTGTCACTCTTCTTTGAAGAAGCTTTTTAGTATCTACCTCAGGGACGAACCCTCTCCAATAGCGCCTCTTTTGGCTCAGTGCCAATGTTTATCTGATTTCTCTTCTGGGAAGGACATAGGGATGTTTCCCAACATTAAAGCTGCTACATAAATGCAGGTTGTTATTGCTGGTATACTATCAGTACTGATCTTGAACTTCAACGACTATTGGCAATCAAGCAGCATAAGCAATTGTGTCTGCTCCCACACACGGCACACTCAAATCTCCAGCAACTTTTGGAGTCTGTCCAATGGAAATGTGAACTCAGTACACAGACTCAATAAACTCAAAGGAGCAATCAGATAGACAAAACCAGCCCTTGGTTACCGCTGGCTGCAAACTTGCATTGTCAGCATTACTGGATGGTTTGTAGAACCACGCAGTGAGGAAATGGGATATCTGATGCGAACCTTAGCCCCATGGACCAGGAGGGTCCCAACTTTGCTCTTCAGGCCTCAGCTCAGAGGCTAGCTTCAGTCACAGACAGTAGCAGAGGGAATGCTTTGATTGGTTCAGAGACTCTGTTGTTGGGCACCTGGGGTTAGCTGGGGGCAGAGTGCATGAAAAATTAATTTTCCTGTTCTTAATAAGGGGTAAACAGGAATGTCAAGTTGTGACCATCATCAGATCAGAAGGTTCTTACTGAATGGTACTGAACGAAGGGCTGAATGGCTGACACCTACTCCTAATTTGCCCGTTTGATATCTAAAGAAGCATACAATGATGTTACCTGAGTACAGAATCAAACGGGACGCTGCCCCATATCACCTATTCCCCAATCAGGCCATTCAGCCCATTGTGCCTGCACCAGCCCTCCAAACAAACATCATGACTTAGAGCCATTCTCCCACCCTTTCCCTATAACCCTACTCAGTATGTTGACTTATATAATTATCTAGTGCCCTCTAGAATGTCTTGAGTGAACCTGACTCCATCACAGACATTCCTGAACCAAACCACTTGCTGTGTGAAAACAAACTTTCTCGCATTGCATTTTATTTTTTGGCAAATCACTATAAATCTGTGTCCCCTTGTTCTTGTCCTTTTGTAAGCAGGTGTGGTCTGTCCCCTGCATACTCTGTCCAGACCTCTCAAAACCTCAACCAAAACTTCTCTTGACCTTTTCCTCTCCAAACAGGTCAAGAAGTAAAACAAATCATCTTGTTTCTCTTGTGCAAAATATCAGGGGTCATCAGTGACTGCAGGACCTTGTCCCAAGACAGGAGCATCACTTTCAAGAGTGTGATGTTTTGTCCCCAATCTTGTCTGTTTTATAAAGTGAATAAGTCAAGCAAACAAAAATTGACTTAATCAGTTGCAGACACAAGTCAATCCCAGTACAGACACAGAGACGAACATTAACAGCTGCTGGAGGACCATTAACTCGGTGAAAGATGCTCTTTGGCCTGGCAAGACTTATTGGTTTTGCAATCACAGAGCTGTCCTCGATCTAGTGTTAGAGACTTGACGCACACAAGCTCCAGGAATAATCACTGACGGTCGCATTTAAGTTGCAATACTTCACTGGGGACAGGCCCACCCAGTATATATAAGGCCCACTAGCTAACTTACCCCTAAAATCTGGAAACCATGTAAAAACCTCTCAATCTATATATTTGACATGAAATGTATTCTGTAAATATAACAAGTAATTGTAAGTTCAATGAAGAATCTCAGGAGTGTTGCATACTGTATTAACAGAACATGGGTTGTACTCCACTTGTAATAAAGTTTTGAAAATATTATGAATGTTTGTGGACAAAAATTGACACCAAAGCTCGATTAACATTTAGGGTGCAAACGCAGCTCCTTCTCATATTAACCTGCTTGTAGCAGGTGGGCACTTACCCCGATGATGGCATTCAGTTCGGCCATGGTGACTTGCTTGGCACGCTCTATTGCCTGCACTACTTGTTGCTGATGCTGTCAATGAATCAGAGAGAGGGTTCAGTAAGTCAAAAGACACTTTTAAGAAATGGATTTCAAGGGAATAATGTTTTTTTCTTCACTTCTACTGCTACAAACACGCACATTTTCGTCTCACGGCAACCCTGCAAGCTTAAAAAAAAACGAAAGAACAGCGTATGCTGGAAATCAGAGACAAAATCAGAAATTACTGCAAAAACTCAGCAGGTCTGACAGCATGTGTGGAAAGAAATCAGAGTTATTGTTTCTGATCCAGTGACCCTTTTTCAGAACTTTAAAACGGAGTAACTTCATCAACAACAGCTTTATTTAATTTTATTATCCATTATTTATATCGCCTTTTATGTCAAATAATACTCAAAAGTGGTTCACTATACCATTATTGGACAAAATGTGATAGCCAGGCACATAACAAGATATTAGGGGGAGGCAATAGCCTAGTGGTATTATCGCTGGACTGTTAATCCAGAGACCCAGATACTGTTCTGGGGACCCAAAATATTTGGAATTGACAGTTTAATGATAACAATGAATTCATTGTCGATTGTCAGAAAAAACCCATCTGGTTCACTAATGTCCTTTAGGGAAGGAAACTGCCATCCTTACCCGGTCTGGCCTACATGTGGCTCCAGACCCACAGCGATGTGGCTGACTCTGAACTGCCCTCTGGGCAATTAGGGATGGGCAATAAATGCTACCTAGCCAGCAACGCCCTCATCCCATGAAAGAATAAAAGAATTAGGTCAGATGACTGATAGCTTGGTCAAAAGTTTTTAAAGAATGTCCTGAAGGAGAAGACTGAGGTAGAGAGGTTTAAACAAAGTTATCTGGAATTTAAGGTCCAGGCAATTGGACACAAGATCTCCAACAGAGCATTGATTGAAACTACAGATACATAAGAGTGCCAAGGGTTGAGGAGCTGGAGGTGATTACTGAGCTAGGGAGGAATGAGGCAAGGGAGGGATCTGAAAATACAAATCGAAATTATAAAATCAAAAATGAAAATCAAATTAATCAGTTCTTCCTTAAGTCGTATCTATCTGCGCACCACGTTTCGCTGAAATCCATCCAATGGTTTCAGAGTTATCTTGTTCACACAGAGAATAGCAAACATTGACAAAAACAATGGCTCTGCCCACCTTCATTGACACAAGTAGCATTGGGTTTTCCATTAAAGTTGGAGATGATGAGAAGTTTCTGCTCTTAGAGTTGTTAATCTTTAGCAGTGTTTATGCCAGAGAGCAATGGAGGCTGGGTAATTGAATGTATGCAAGGGTTTACTGGCCAGGAGCCATAGTAGGTCAGCGAGCACAGGGTGAGAGGTGAAAGGGATTAGGATTTTGGGTGACCATGAGTCTACTGAAAGGAGAATGTAGGACACCAGCCTGGAGAGTGTTGGAAGGGTCAAACCTAAGGGTAATGATGGCAATGAGAAGCGTTTCAGATGAGCTGAGTCAGTGCGAGATGAGGTTGTTACAGATGTAGGAAGGCAGTCTGAACAACTGTGTGAAAAATGGTCATGTGCATTGACCTGGACAAGGAAACTGACCTTCTTGCCCCCACACTGCCCTGGGAGCTGGCAAACAACTATGCACAGGTTTCCTTGTAATGCTTCCCCCACCTCAAGACACTGCCCACCACTGGGCTGATGCCAGCAGTCATCACATAAAGCTAATGGGCATTAATTGGGCAACCAAGAGTCTGAATTGGCAGCAGTCCAGGGGCCTCCTCACCACAGATTTAATCAGATTGGAGATGGGAGGGTAGTAGGGTCCTGAACCAAAACCTTGCTGTCTGATTAAATCTCACCCTCCCACATCAAACATGGCACAGAGAATTGCAGAAGACACTGCCCTTAAGGTTGGAAAGCGTTGGAGAAATGCTGAGGATGAGACTGCTGGCTATTTGAGTCGAATACTGAGACAATGGGGGTCAGAGTTTATCCAGATGGGGCCTCAGGAAAATCCAGGCTAGAATATGTTACACACATGTCATGGGGATCTTAGCATCAGTGGGCATGAAGTAAAAAGTCAAGGAGGGCAAAGCTGGGGAGGTAGAATTGGAAATCTGATTGCTGAACAGGACATACAGTGTGAAGTGCATTACGCAAATTAAGTTACGAAGAATCCCAGTTTACCAGGAATTTCCTTCGCAGCGTGGAACCTTTTCAGATGAGTGTCAGCAGTTTTGACAAGTGACTTGTGTGAGATTCAGCAGATTCTGAAACCCTGTGCAAGTGGAGTCGAAGCTAAAGGGGTCTAACTGTCTTGTACACTCACACAGCTGAGACTGGGACCTCTCTTGCATCAAGTATTAACAGGTCATATCCACATAGGGTTCCTAGTTTACAGCAACTGCTAATTCTATTTTTATTGCATATACTTCCTTGGATTTTTTTACTGGCACTTTGGAATGATAATGTATGATTCTACTCGCTTTTTCTATAAACCTGCAGATTAGCGGACTGCATATGAGACACCTCTGTTACGCACTACTGTCTTTTCTCCACTCAATCAACAACTGTATCAAAGGCTTTTATTGACTTCAGTCTTTTGCATCCATTCAGTTTTCATGAGTTTGAGAGTCAGAGTTTTACAGCAAGGAAACAGACCCTTTGGACAACTTGTCTAAGCCGACTAGATATCCTAAATTAATCCAGTCCCAATTTGCCAGCATTTGGCTTACCTCTGTCTAAACCCTTCCTATTCACGTACCCATCTGGACGATTGTCCAAAAGTTTTAAAAATTTTCACCTAGAGCACTAATTAGGAAAATAGGTTGCTGTGTCCTGTAATGTGAAATGATTGTTGCTTATCACCTTGAAGTCAGATATTGTAAGTAACATTCGCACCACACAAATAACAGGCAAAAACCATCTCCAATAAGAGACAAACTAACCATTACCCCGTGACATGCAATGGTATTACCATCACTGAAATCCCCGCTCTTGACATCTTGGGAGTTATCATTGACTAGAAACCCAACTGGACTCACAATATAAACAGAATGGCTACAACAGCAGGTCAGAGGCTAGGAATACTGCAGCGAGTAACTCACCTCCTGACTCCCCAAAGCCTGTCCACAACCTACAAAGCACAAGTCAGAGGAGTGTGAGGAAATACTTCCCACTTGCCTGGGTGGGCACAGCTCCAACAACATGTTTTAGCTGAGACTGCTTACCTTCTGAGTGCATGCAAAAGATCCTACAGAACTACTGAGCGTGGGAATTTTCACATAGTCTTGGCCAACACTTATCCCTAAAACTACTGGGTCAGTTGGTGCTGCTCTCACCCATGAGTTGCCAGCTTCAAGTTCCACCTCAGGACTTGAGCATAGAAACCAAGGGCTGAACACAACAGTGAGTTCAGTACGAAGGCACTGATGCACTGTGTGATGTGCTGTCTTTAGGACAAGTCACTGAACCGAGGTCCCATCTGCCTGACCCGGGTGGATGTAAAAAATCTTAGGCTCCTCGTTGAAGAAGATTCAGATTCAAATATTGCCACTTGTACCTAGGTACAGTGAAAAGGGGATAATGTTGCCATGTCCAGCGCCATCTTGGATTACAGCATAAATTACGGAATAAATTGTATAAATGGTAAAATACTGAATACATTAATATTAAATTGATATCACTGAAACTGAAACAGCTTCAAAAGTTTGTCTTTCCCTCTTCGTAGACTTCAGTCTTCTCCAGGCGCCTCCTCTGACATTGTCCCTGGGTCCTGGCAATGTGCTCCTTTTCTGCTGTCGCTGGTGCCGCCAAGTCCACCACATCCGAGCTGGAGATGGTCACGCTCCTCTGTTGAGGGACATCGACCAAGAGGTCCTGGCTCCGAGTCAACAGACAGCGTCCTGGGTCGTCTTCCGATGCCTCCACCCATGATGGAGAGGGGATGGAGATACACGGGGACACGGCCTCCTGCAGAAGGACATCAGGAGGAGGCCCCAGGGCAAGCAAAACAAAAAACAAACACGTTACCGAGCTGGAAAGACAGTGATGAAGCCGTGTGGATGCAGCAGAACCCGCTACACGAGCCCTGTGCTCAGGAGCTGAATGCTGTTGACCACCACCATCTTGGATCAAAGAGGAGAGGAGTTACCTCGAGTGGATAGCAAGAGCTGCAGATGATGGGCTCAGGTTCAATACAGTGTGGAGAGGGAAGGACACAGCAGGCCAGGCAGAAGAAGACAAAAGTCAATGGTCTGGACCCTTCCCCAGTCTTGAAGAAGGGTGTAAATCTGAAATGTCGACTTTCCTGCTCCTCCGTGTTCCTCCAGTTACCTCTAGTACCCTGGCTAATATTTTTCCCCTCAATCAAGACCATTAAAAATGGTGTATCCGCTCAGGTTTGCAGTGTTGTGCAAGTTTGCTGTGTGTTATATTACAGCAGCGACTTTGCATCAAAAGTACTACATTGACTGTAAAGAGCTTTAAGATAACTGGTGGTCAGGAAAAGCCTGTAAACATACGAGTCTCTTGTTTTAACAAACACATAAGAAGTATTGGCCTAGAGCTTCAGTCCTCTTTGGAATGGCAACACATTGAAGAGTGAGGCCCAAACACGATTGATTGATTGATTGATTGATTTTATTGTCACATGTTTCAAAATACTGTGAAAAGCTTTGTTTATGACTGATACAGCCATTCACAGCAAGCAAAGGATGTACAGATCAAAAAGACCTAGAGGCATACAGGTTACGTTACAGGTTACATTATTTGAGGCTGGAGTCCATTCAACAGTCTGATAACGGCCAGGAAGAAGCTGTTCCTGAAGCTGCTGGTGCGTGTGCTCAGGCTTCTGTACTTTCTGCCTGATGGAAGAGGCTGTAGGAGATAGTTACCAGGGTGCAATGGGTCTTTGATGATGTTGGCAGCCTTTCCGCAGCAGCGAGCTGTGTAAATAGAGTCTGTGGATGGAAGGTTGGCTTCCGTGATGGTCTGGGCTGTGCATACCACCTTCTGTAGTTTCTTACGGTCCTGGGCAGAGCAGTTG